TGTGGGGTGGGGTGGCAGTGGGATGAGTTTGTAGGTTATATTTATATGTCCTTAGGAAGGTAGTCAACAGGTAGCTGTATCAGATGACATCTGAACTGGCCACAGGGAGGAGGAGGCAGCTAGCTGGGAACCGTGGAAAGGTAGCTAAGCCTAGCTGCTTACAGGAGACAATTCCCCTTAAAATCAAAAGATGCCAAGAAATGTACAGGCTAAGGCATGATGATTCCAAGTTCAAAGCCAGCCTCATCAATTTAGCCAGACCCCAAGCAACTTAATGAGAGCCTGTGTCAAAATAAAATATAAAAAGGACTATTGATGTGACTCAGTGGTAAAATGCCTCTGGGTTCTGGGTTCAATCTCCAGTAAGTGCCCCCCACCCCCAAAGATTTTCCTGGATGTTTTCTTCTAGGAGATTAATAATTTCAAGCTATACATTTAAATCTTTAATCCGTTTGGAGTAAATATTTGTATATGGTAAGATAGGAGGCCAAGTTTCTTCTTTTGGATGTGTATGTTCAGTTTTGTTCCGAGACTATCTTGGCACCATTGTGGAAGATCATTTAACTATGAATTCTTAGATTTATTTCTGGGCTCCTTACACTGACCTGTTTTCTGTCTTTACACTGGCACTACACTGTTTTGATTGCTATAGCTTCATGATATGATTTGATATGTATTCCTTCAGCTTTGTTCTTCTTTCCAAAGAATATTTTAGTAATTCAAATCCTTTGTGATTCCATATGAAATTTAGGATTTTTTTCCTATTCTTGCAAAAATAAATTCCATTAGGATTATGCTCCGGACTTTATTGAATTTGTAGATTCAATATAGACGTTTTACAATATAAAGTCTTCCAATCCATGAACACAGCGTCTTTTCATTTATTTGTGTTTTCTTGGATTTCTTTCAGCAATGTTTTATAGTTTTTAGTATACAAAGCTTTTGCTTCCTTGGTTAAGTTTATTTCTAAGTATTTTGTTCTTTTTGATGCTCTGGTGGTAAATGGGTTTGTTTTCTTAATTTCATTTTCAGATTGTTCATTGCTTATGTAGAACAATGCAGCAGATTTTGGGATGTTGCTTTTGTGCACTCCAACTTTGCTGAATTTACTCATTAGTTCTAATAGGGGTGTGTGTGTGTGTGTGTGTGTGTGTGTGTGATCTTATATGTAAGATCGTGATATCTTCAGTTAATTTCACTTCTTCCTTTCTGATAGGGATACCTTTTATTTCTTTTTCTTGCCTAATTTCCATAGGTGGGATTTCTAGTACTGTATTGAACAGACACAACAAGAGTAGGCATCCTTACCTTGTTCCTGGTTTTAGAGGAAAAGTTTTCAGTTTTTCACTGTAGAGAATTATGTTAATGTGAGCGTTCATATGTGGTATTTATAATGTCGAGGTGATTTCTTATAGTCTTAGCTTGTTGAGTGTTCTCATCATGCAGGGGTGTCAAGTAGGGGCAAATGCTTCTTCTGCCAGTGCTGAAATGATCATAGGGTATCTGTTTACCCTTTAATGTGGTGTATATTGATTTTTATATGTTGAGTCATCCTTGCATCTTTGGGATAAATCCCACCTAGACATAATGTGCTATCCTTTTAATGTCTGATTGAATTTGGTTTGCTGATATTTTGTTGAAGATTTTCACATCTATATTCATCAGGGGATATTGGCCTGTTCTCTCTCTCTTCCTTCAGTGTGGTTTTGGCGTCAGGGTAATGCTGGCTTCATAAAATGAGTTTGGAAGTGTTCCCTACTCTTCAATTTTGTTGGAAGAGTTTAAGAAGTATTGGCATTAATTCTTCTTTGAATGCTTGGTGGGGTTCTTCAGTAAAGCCATCTGGTGCTGGGATTTTCTTTATTGAAAGGTTTTTGGTTACTGATTCAATCTTCTTATTAGTTAGAAGTCCTGTTTCAATTTTCTATTTCTTCATGATTCAGTCTTGGTAGATTGTAAGTTTCTAGGAATTTATTATTTCTTCCAGGTTATCCAAATTGTTGGTGTATAATCAAACAGTATTTTTAAAAAATATTTCTTCTCATTTTTGTAGCATGATTTTAATGCTTCCTTTTTCATTTCTGATTTTATTTATTTGAGTAATTTCTCTTCTTTCACGGTTACTTTAGCCAAAGGGTAAAGTAATTTTATTGTCCCCCACCCCTCCAAAAAAAACCTTATTGTTTCCTTGAATTTTTTTTCTTGCTATTTCATTTATTTCTCTTTGGATCTAATTATTTCCTTTCTTCTGCTAACTTAGTCTTAGTTCATTCTTAGCTTTCTAGTTCTTTGAGGCATAAAATGAAGTTGTTTATTTGAGATACTTATTCGAGATATTCATTCATTTTTAATGTAGATATTTATCTCCATAAAAATTCCTTCTTAGTACAGATTTTTCTGCATCTCATCAGTTTTGGTATGTTGTGTTTTTGTTTTCATTTGTCTCAAGATAGTTTCTAATTTTCCTTTTGATTTCTTCTTTAATACATTGGTTACCCAAGGGTGTATGGCTGAATTTCAACATACTTACAAAATTTCTAATTTTCCCTATATTATTAGTGTCTAGTGTTGATCCTCTCAGGTCAGAAAATAAGTTTGGTATTATATCAATTTTCTTGACCTTGTTAAAACTTGTCGTGTGGCCCAGCATGTGGTCTAACCTAGATAATTTACTGGGTGTGTATTTTGCTGCTTTTGGATAGAATGTTCTGTGTACGCCTGTTAGGTTCACTTGGTCTATAATATTGTTTACCTGCTCTGTTTCCTTATTCGCCTTCTGTCTGGAAGTTATTGAAAGTAGACCATTGAAATCTACCATTATTGTGTTGCCATATATTTCTCCCTTCAGTTGTCAATGTTTATTTCATATATTTGGGTGCTCTGATGTTGGACACATATATATTTATATCTTCCTAGTGAATTGAACCTTTTATCATCTTTCTTTATTCTTGTGACAGCTTTTGATTTATTCTGTCCAGTAGAAGTTTAGCCATCCCTGCTATCTTTGCTTGCCATTTGCATGGGATATCTTTTTCAATTCATTCACTTTTAGCCTGTAGGATTTCTTAACTCTTGGGTGAATATTTTGTAAATGGCATACGGTTGTATCTTGTCTTTTATTTTTCAATTCATTTGTCCATTCTATGTCTTTCGACTGAACAGTTTAATCCATTTATATTTAATTTGATTATTTTTAGGGAAAAACTTACTCTTGCCATTTTATCAATTATTTTTGGTCTGCTTTGTAGGTCTTTTCTTTCTCTCTTTTCATTCTTACTGTTTTCTATTGATTTTTTGTAGTAATATAATTTGGTCTTTCCTCATTTTCTTTGTGAATATTCTATAGACATTTTCATTTTGGTTACCATAGGACTTGCATAAAATAGTTTGTAGTCCTTACAATCTATTTTAAGGCAATAACAGCATTTTGTATTACTGTTACTGATATTTACAGTTTTCTGTATTTGTCTATATGGATAAAGATCTGCCAGGGATCTTTATACTTTCATATTGCTGTCTAGGTTTCCTTCATCTCAAATGATTCCTTTTAGCATTTCTCATAAGACAAATGTAATGGTAATGGATTCTTTCAGCTTTTGTTTTTCTGGGGAAGTCTTTCTCTCTACTTTAATTCTAAAGGATGCCTTTGCCATGCTTCTTAGTAATACAAGAGTAGTGTTTTTTTTTTTTAAATCATTAAAGACTAGTATTCTTGATTGGCAGTTATTTTCCATTATCATTTTGAATATATCATTCCACTCTCTTCTTGTCTACAGAATTTCTGTTTAAAAAAATATGTCAGTGTCTTCTATAGGTGTTCTTTTACAGGATGAGTCACTCTTGTTATTCACAAAATTTTCTATTTATCTTTAATGTTTGACTATAATGTGTCGATGTTGAGAGCCACAGCCAAAGGGGCCCCAGCAAATTTCCAGCTGCCAGCAAACTTCCAGCTGCCAGCTGATGATTGGCTCACAGCGGCCCCAGCAACATCTAGCTGATTGGCTCCTCCACGGA